TTATGTTATAATAATATATTTTTTACTCTTATTGTTATTTTTCATGACGTTTAAGAATATCATAATTTTTTTTTAAAGGTGTTACGATACTTTTAATTATTTTATGCCAAATGAAATCAATTTTACAATTGCTTTCACTTTTTTTTTTTATATTAACACTTATTTTTTGGTTTAGAATTATTATTTATTTGTAATAATAAATTTTTTATATTGCAAAAAAAAATTATTTATGTTACAATAATATTTTTTTTTATACTTATTCTTACTTTTTATTATGTTTAAAATTATTACAACTTTTTGTTAAGGTATTATGACACTTCTAATCCAATTTACATTAAATGACACCAATTTAACAACAATTCTTATCATTTCATGTTACGATATTGTAACATATTTTACACCAAATAATTTTAATTTTTTAATTATTCTTACATTTTACGCTAATATGCATTTTTTTGTTTAGAATTACTTTCATGTATAAAAATAATTTTTTTATATTGTTAACTTATATTTATGTTACAATAAAATCTTTTACATTTATTTTTACCTTTAGTTATATTTAGAATAATCACAAGTTTTTTGTAGGCATTTTGACACATCTAATATTTTTACGTTAAATGATACCAATTTTATAATTATTCTCATATTTTTACATTAACACTTATTTTTTGATTGAATTATTATTTTTTATTTATAATACCAATTTTTTATGCTACTAATTTATTACATTTCAATAATAACTTTTTACATTTGTTGTTACTTTTCATTATGTTTAGAATTATTACAATTTTTTTTAAAAGTGTAACGATATTTCTAACTATTTTATGTTAAATAATATCAATTTTACGATAATTCTCACCGTTTTATATTAACTCTTAATTTTTTACTTAAAATTATTTCTTATTTGTAATAATAGTTCTTTTATGTTGCTAATTTAATTATTTATATTATAATAATATCTTTTTACACTTGTTGTTACCCTTTATTATGTTTAAAAATATTATAACTTTTTTCTTAAAGGTGTTATAATTCTTTTAACCATTTTACGTCAAATAATACTAATTTTATGATTACTTTCACCTTTTTTTTATACTAACACTTATTTTTTTGGTTTAGAATTATTAATTATTTGTAATAATAATTCTTTTACTTTGTCAAAAATATTATTTATGTTATAACAACATATGTTTTACACTTGTTCTTATTTTTTATTACGTTTAAATTTATTATAACTTTTTGTCAATATGTTACGAGAATTCTAATCCAATTTATGCTAAGTGACACTAATTTTATAATTATTCTTATTTTTTTACATTACAACACTTTTAACATATTTTTACGACAAATGATTCTAATTTTATAATTCCTCTTACTTTTTTACATTAAAACATTTTTTTGTTTATAATTTTTTATGTTGTTAACTTAATTATTTACATTATAATAATATATTTTTACGCTTATTGTTATCTTTTATTATGTTTAAGTTTATCATAACTTTTTTTTAAAGGTATTACGACACGTCTAACCATTTTACATAAAAAATATCAATTTTATGATTATTTTTATCTTTTTACGTTAACACATATTTTTTGGTGTAAGATTATTATTTTTATTAATAATACTAATTTTTTTATATTATTAAATTAATTATTTATGTTTTTATAATATTTTTTACACTTATTACTTTTCATTACATTTAGAATTATCACAATGTTTTATTAAGGTATAACAATACTTGTAACTATTTTATGTCAAATAATACTAATTTTATGATTATTCTTACTTTTTTATATTAACTTTTATATTTTGGTTTAAAATTATTTTTTTATTTGTAATAATATTTCTTTTATATTACCAATTTAATTATTTTTGTTACAATAATATCTTTTTATACTTGTTATTACTTTTTATTACGTTTATAATTATTACAACTCTTTGTTAGGGTGTTATGATACTTTTAACTTATTTTACGTTAAATGATATTAATTTTATGATTATTCTTATATTTTTATGTTAACACTTATTTATTGTTTTAGAATTAATTTTTGGATTTAAGATAATAATTTTTTTACATTGTTAACTTAATTATTTACATTCCAATAATATATATTTTTTTGCATTTGATTTTACTTTCATTATGTTTAAAATTATTACAAATATCTCTTAAAGTATTACGATACTTCTAACATATTTTTTACTAAATAATATTAATTTTATGATAATTCTCACCTTTTTATATTAACCAATTTTCAATTAAAATTTTTTAAATATTATATTATCTTGTCTTTTTTTTTAAGAATTTTAAACAAATTGTATTTATTTATTAAATATTTTTTAATTTTATTTAATGAATAATATTTAATGTAATTAATTAAAATTAGATTAATAGGTTAACAGATAATTAAGTATTTTTATAATTAAAAAATTAATGATTTATATTAATTTTTTATATCTAATTATTATTATTCAATTAAGGTCAACAACTTTAATCTTATTGTCTAAAATCCTCCGCATTGACTGCTTTAAATATCGTTCTGTCACGTTAATTGAGGTGTCAGCAACATTTTTCACAGCTTTTCAGTCTCCAGCGTAACTGAAAATCTGGAGAAAAGTACAACAAAATCTTATGAACTCTCACATGCATCAAACAAACTATTTTCCATAAGAAATCGACTAATCTTTTTCACTACAATTTATTTTGATTTATTTGTAAAAATTATATTGGGATGTCATTTTTACTTTATTTTTTTAAAAAAATTTTCGTTATTTTTATCTTTTGTTGTCTACTTTTGCCGACTTTAGACAGTCAAGCGCACGCTGTCCATAGTCCAGAGAGTCCACTTATAGCTAGCCAAATGAACAATTACTTGCAACTTGCAAGAGGGAAAGTGACTATTGAAGTTGAAAGGTTTAATCCCAAGTTTTAAGTTGTAAACTTAAAACTTATCTACCTTCGAATCTTTTTCACCAAAATAGAAAAAAGTTTTTACACTTGGCAATGAAGGAAATTTAAGCCAGCATGCTTTAATTAAGAAATTTTGGACTTAATTCCACTGAATTTTCTTCCAAGGGCTAAAGAGAAATGACCGGCAATGAGAGCATTGTTTATTAAATAAATACCTGCTATCATAAATGCATTCAAGAAAATTATAAGATATCAATTTCCCTAAATTAATTATATTAAAAAGACGTTGATATTACTATACATGGATAGACTCTTCATAAATCTACCTCACCCCTTATCTCTACTCAACTTTGAGGTTGATTGCCAATTGTTTTGTGTGGCTGAAAAACCAAATTTTTAGTTCAATAGAGTGAATCAAACAAGGATATCTTTATTTCTTTTCACCGTCGCATCAAATAAAACACGATCGGGAAACAAAAGAAATACAAACACGACAACATATTCATTATCAAAAAACTTTATTTTTATTTCCAAGCGCCGAGGCACTGCAATTAACTCCGAGAGGGGAGAGACCATTACTCTTGGCTCTTGCTTCCAACCATCTCCAGATGAGGAGAGCCTCTGCGGCAAAATACAACCCTGTAATTAACTTCGCAATTGTGTTTTAAATTTTTCATTCAAAAATCATTTTTATTTTTGAAATATTTTTTGAATGAAATAAAATAATGATTGATGAAATAGGCCTAGTCTAATGATAAAGATATTCCAACCAACCTGAACATTGATAAAGATTTTAAGTGTAAATAAATTATGTAATGATAACGATATTCTTTATTTTTTTTTATACTTAAATTATTAAAAATTAAATTATAATTACTAAAAATTTAATATTTTATCAATAGATTTTATAACTTTTAACAATATCTATTGATCTCGTAATTGTTGACTAAATATTCTTACATAAATTATGTAACTTTCTTAGGATTTGAAATCCTAATTGTTGTCAATTGATTTAGAATCGGTTGATATATTATTGAAATTTACATTTAAAGATTATAAATTTAAAATAATTTATAGGAGTAATTTTTTTTCAATTAAGTAAATAGTTGGACAAAAAATTTAAGAATAAATTAAAACTATATAAAAAAAAAAGGTCTTGTTTAGTTGTAGCCACATACTACACTAATGGTTACCTGGACATGCTATCCGTGTTCGAGCCCGGTTGAATCAACCCAAATTTTCCGTACAATTTTTGCTTGCAAAGAGAAAGGTATATTTTTGTCTTTGATGATCTTTCAAATATTTTTATTTCAAGCTTATTAGGTTTGCTATCCTTAATTTCTTGATTTATCAAACTTCAACAACTTTCCATTTCTGATACATATATCAAATTATTTGGTATATGGTGGGGAAATTGGTTTATAAGAAAAATTAATATCATGAAATGGCGTTTATAATGCCTTAAAAAGATAAAGTGCTTCATACATATATGGTAAATTTTAAGAAACCAAATTTATTAATAAAAAGTCGAAGATAATTTTGGTTAAACGCTTTACTTTTTTGGGTTTCAAGGACCACCTCTTGCAGTCCATTGACACCCAAGATGCAATTAGTAAGGCCCAGATGCAAGCCCTGGCTGAGCCTGGTGCCACGGTTTTCTGCTATAGGCGAACTAGGTCGAGTCAGTAGACAGATAGACACTAGACAATATCTGATGAGGCTTCAGCCCAGAAATTAATTGTGTATTTATTGAATGAGCAGATTAGATTAGATAAACATTTTTTTTTTTGGGCCGAGTGCAGATTACATTATTATTATTATTTACAAAAGAGATTGTAATTAAAAAATTTTACAATATAAAAGTTTTCATTTGTTTATAAATAAAAAATGAAAAAAGCAAAGATAATTTAGAAAAGAATTAATTAAAATAAAATGATGATAGAAAATTAAGGTAATGTGTAATGACAAGCACAATAAGGAATCCAGGTTATAAAATAGAATTCTAAAAGAAAAAAAAACAAAGACAGAAGAACATAAAATCAAAATCAAGGGAAAATCCTTTCATAAAATATTGAATTGATCCAAAACTCAAAAAGAAAAAGAAAAAGGAAATCCCCAATTTTCATTAATTTATGATCAGATAAATATTTATTACAAGTGAGAACATTTGCACATCAAGGAATGTGCTCAAATGGCATTCATATGCCTTTATTCCACATATTGCTATTGATACCGGATAAGCTATATATTTTGTGTGTAGACGATTTAAAACCATTCCAACCCTTCAGGGGCAGAATATAACCTTGTAGTTAGTACCAGTGGGGCAAGTAAACAAGCTCGTGGGGTCATCCTTGGGGTAACTGTAAGCATCTGGGCACCTTTCCTTGAAAAACCTGGAGAAGTTTGTAGGGCTACAGTTACCAGAATTGCAGCAGTGCTCCTCAGTCTTGAACACTGGACAAGGCCCGTTACATCCTCCAGGAACCTTCAACTCATTCGGACACTGCCCGACAATGTCTGCTGTACACCTGATAACTCTTGTGCACCCTGGAGAGTTTGAGCTGAACTCCATAGGAACGTTAAAGCCATCAATGTTAGAGATATCAATAAAGTCTTGGTTAGCGAATTGACCTATCGCATATTCAGCTAGTGTGTTAGGGGCTGAACCATAGCCCTTGCATTCCAAGAGACCGCCACAATCACCTGTCTCACACTTGCCGTTCCCGGAAGCATCGAACTGGCAGTTGGTTCGAGCCCAAATGCGGGCTTGTGTGGTTCCAGGGGCTGCACTGATTTGCCATGTTTCACCACGGTTCATTCTTCTGCCACCGCCTGGCACCGCTGCAGCCCAGACGGTGTAAGGGCAGTTGTTTCTGATATCAAATGTGGCTGCATGGGCTAAGCTGAAGAGGGTCACAAAGAGGAAAGAAAGGGTTGGTAAGGTTTTGAAGGAACTCATCATTTTGGTGAACAAGTTGGCTATGCTCTACTGATATTTTGTTGATGGGTTTGCGGTGTTTTGGAGTGAAAGTGCGGAGATTTTTATAGAGGTGGGGCGGCGGTGGCATTGCTGTTGATGATTTACAGGTGTAATTGCGTGATAGAATTTTGTTGGAAACATTGCGAGATGGTGATGATGTTAATAGGATGTGGCTTGATCCCAAGTCAAGTCAAGAATTAGATTCATTCATTGTTAGGCAGTTCATATGGAAATTGTCCATGAATACCTAGCTAAAAATAGGGTTCAGTGCAGTGTATTATTTTTAAAAAAATTCTAAAAAAAGTTTTTATATTTTTTTATTAAAAATAAAGTTCTTCCTTACTATTGTATTTCATGTGCTAATAAAAAAAAGAAATCAGATTAGCATGCCACTTTTTATTTTTTTAATAAACCGATTAACATGCTACTTTATCAACAAAATTTTCATATAATCAATTTAATAGAAATTTTTTAACATTGATACTCTTTATCTTTAAAATATATGGGTTAAATTCATTAAAATTAGAACGAATGGACCAAAATCATATAATTAAGATAATAGAAATATCATATTTAGACTTTGATGTTATGTTTTAAAGAATTAAATTATATAATTTTAAGCGTTTTGGACCCTTTAATTAAGTTGATTCAATCAACCATCACTTTCTTTAATTAAAAATGCATTTTTTGAATAATTATAGATATAATTATTTATCTTTTATAGTAAAAGATTGTTTTTTAGTTGAATAAATGTCCTTAAAAAAACATTTTCATTCTTCATAAAATATACTTTTTCAAATTAAAACAATCGAATGCCATACATGAGCATCTGAGTGCTTTAGTGTTATTTTATAATAAAAACTCTTTTAAAGTAGAGCAATAGACTCCTCTCTAGATATCTGACTGTCTAAATTCATTTTCTTAACATCTATTTTTTTGTTTTCTTAGAGATCATGAGCAGTCTATTTTATTATATAGATAATCAATTGCTCTTTATCAAAACTTAATTCTATTTTTTTATTTAATTTCTTAAACTATTAATTAAATTATCATTCTTAATCAAATAATCTTCAACCATTTTAAAAATATTATGTTCTTTCAAATTGTAGATTAATCTTTGATGGTTATTCTGCGACGCGGAAATTATGAATATGGCTGTATTAAAAACACAGAGAGAAGAAAAGTCTTGGAGAAATACTATAAAAAGAATAGTTTGTTTGATGAGAAAAACATATTAGCCTTTTGGGTAAAATAAATTGATGCATGGAGCATGACTTTTCGTTAGTCATTTTGGTTTAGAGTTATATAGTCCTCAACTTTGACTAGTTCCTAAAAGAGATAAGGTTGTGCTGATGACCACTCCATTCACGGATTTATCTACGGTAATATCGTAATATATTGATTTTATTCTAAGGTCATAAGATATCATAATATCTCATGATATATCATAATAAATTATAATAATAATATAACTTAAAATAATAAAAAAAAAAAAGTTAACAAGTAAATGTTAAAAAAGTACATAATTTTTTTAATTTATTAATTTAACAAATAAGAGATTATATATTTTTAATTTTATAATATAAATTTATTTTACAAAACTAACTTAATTATTTACGTTTAATAATATATTTTTATACTTTTTTTATCATTACATTTAGAATTATTACAATGTTTTTCAAGGATAAATCATTTCAAACTCATTTTAACATCCAATGATATGAATTTTATGATTATTTTCATCTTTTTATGTTAACAATTTTTTTATTTAGAATCTTTTAATTTAAAAATATCAATTCTTTTACATTGTTAAGTTAATTATTTACTTTAATTTCTTGTTACGCTTGTTTTTACTTTTTGTTTCATTTAGAATTATTATAACTCTTTGTAAAAATTACGACATCAAATGATATCAATTTTATGATTATTTTTATTATTTTTACTTTTTTTATGTTAACACTTATTATTTGGTTTAGAATTACGTTTTATTTATAATATTAATTTTTTGCGTTGCCAATTTAATTATTTATGTTATAATAATATATTTTTACATTTGTTTTTATCTTTTATTACATTTAGAATTATCATAACTTTTTTTTAATAGTGTTACAACATTTCTAATATACAATATGTTAAATGATACAAATTTTATAGTTATTTTCACATTTTTATGTAAACACTTATTTTTTATTGAATTATTTTTTTATTTATAATAATAATTTTTTATGTTGTCAATTTAATTATTTATGTTAAAATAATATTTCTTTTATACTTGTTCATTTATTTCATTATGTTTAGAATTATCTAAATTCTTTCTTAGGGTGTTATGATAGTTTTAACCTATTTTATACAAAATGATACTAATTTTATGACTATTCTCACTTTTTTACATTACAATACTTTAACACATTTTATGTAAAATTATATCAATATTACGATTACTCTTACATTTTTACGTTAAAACTTTTTTTAGGTTTAAAATTATTTTTTATTTATAATAATAATATTTTATGTTGTCAATTTAATTATTTACGTTATAATAAAATTTATTATACTTGTTGTTACATTTTATTATATTTAGAATTAATTATCACAACTTTATTTTAAGTATTATAACACTTTAAACGTATTTTACACCAAATTATACCAATTTAATGATCATTTTTTTTTACTTTAACACTTAATTTTTTTATTTAGAATTATTTTTATTTATAATACTAATTTTTTTTATGTTATAAATTTATTAAGTTTCAATAATATCTTTTTATGTTTGTTGTTACTTTTCATTACGTTTAAAATTATTATAATTTTTTTGTTAAGGTGTAACAATATTTCAAACTATTTTACATAAAATAATATCAATTTTATGATTATTCTCACCATTTTATGTTAACTCTTATTTTTTAAAAATTATTTTTTATTTATAATAATAATAATTTTTTTACATTATCAAGTTAATTATTTATGTTATAATAAATTTTTTTTTTTACACTTGTTGTTATATTTCATTATGTTTAAAATTATCATAACTTTTTCTTAAAGGTGTTATGATACGTTTAATTATTTTACGCCAAATAATATCAATGTTACAATTACTTCCACCTTTTTTATATTAACACTTATTTTTTAGTTTAAAATTATTATTTATTTGTAATAATAATTTTTTTATATTGCCAAAAATATTATTTATGTTGCAATAATATTTTTTTATACTTATTCATACTTTTTATTATGTTTAAAATTATCACAATTTTTTTTAAGGTGTTATGACACTTATAATCCAATTTATGCCAAATGATACTAATTTTACAACTATTCTTATAATTTTATGTTATGACATTGTAACATATTTTACATTGAATGATTCCAAAATTTCAATTATAACACTTTTTTATGCTAACATGCATTTTTTTTTTTAGAATTACTTTTATTTATAATAATAATTTTTTATATTGTCAACTTATATTTATGCTACAATAAAATCTTTTACGCTTATTCTTATCTTTTATTATATTTAGAATAATCATAAGTTTTTCTTAAAGTATTACGACAGTTCTAATATATTTTATGCCGAACGATATCAATTTTACGATTATTTTCACATTTTTAAGTTAACACTTATTTTTTAATTGAATTATTATTTTTTATTTATACTACTAATTTTTTTCATGTTACTAATTTATTACGTTTCAATAATATATTTTTACATTTATTATTATTTTTATTCCGTTTAGAATTATTGCAAAATTTTCTTAAAGTGGAACGATATTTCTAACTATTTTACGTTAAATAATATCAATTTTACGATAATTCTCACCATTTTACATTAACTCTTAACTTTTTATTTAAAATTATTTCTTATTTGTAATAATAGTTCTTTTGTATTGCTAATTTAATTATTTATCTTCTAGTAACATCTTTTTATGCTTGTTGTTACCTTTCATTTTGTTTAAAACTATTACTACTTTTTTTTTTTTAAAGGTGTTACAATACTTTTAATCATTTTACTCTAAATAATACTAATTTTATGATTACTCTCACATTTTTTTTATACTAACACTTTTTTTTGTTTAGAATTATTAATTATTTGTAATAATAATTTTTTTACATTGCCAAAAATATTATTTATGTTATAACAATATATTTTTTACACTTATTCTTATTTTTTATTACGTTTAAATTTATTATAACTCTTTGTCAAGGTGTTACGACAATTCTAATATATTTTAAGTCAAGTGACACCAATTTTACAACTATTCTTACCTTTTTATATTACAACACTTTTAACACACTTTTGGGCAAAATAATTCTAATTTTACAATTACCCTAACTTTTTAAAGTTAAAACACTTTTTTTTTTAATTTTGAATTTATAATAATAAATTTTTTATGTTATCGATTTAATTATTTATATTATAATAATATCTTTTTATGCTTTTTGTTATCTTTTATTACGTTTATGTTTATTATAACTTTTTCTTAAAGGTGTTATGACATGATTAACCATTTTACATAAAAAATACCAATTTTAATGATTATTCTTATTTTTTTATGTTAACACCTATTTTTATAGTGTAAGATTATTATTTTTATTTATAATACTAATTTTTTTTATATTACCAATTTAATTATTTATGTTTTAATAATTTTTTTTACACTTATATTTTTCATTATGTTTAGAATTATCACAATGTTTTATTGAAGTGTAACAATACTTATAACCATTTTATGTCAAATAATATTAATTTTACAATTATTCTTACTTTTTTACATTAACTTTTATTTTTTGGTTTAAAATTATTTTTTTTATTTGTAACAATATTTCTTTTATATTACAAATTTAATTATTTTTATTACAATAATATCTTTTTATATATATTATTTTTATTACATTTATAATTATTACAATTCTTTGTTAGGGTATTACGACACTTTTAATTCATTTTACGTTAAATGATATTAATTTTATGATTATTCTTACATTTTTTCATTAATACTTATTTATTGTTTTAGAATTAATTTTTGGATTTAAGATAATAATTTTTTTACGTTATC